AATTTAAATGAAATGTGATACATAGGCACTTGGAATAAAGGATCATCGAGCGCCAGTCTCAAAATTTTCTTTTGCGCATGCGCAGTGCCAACTTTTTTTATTTATGGAAGAATTTAAACGAAATTTGATACATAGGCACTTGGGATAAAGGAAAATCAAACGCCAATTTCAAAATTTGGTTTTGCGCATGCGCAGTGCCAACTTTTTTATTTATGGAAGAATTTAAACGAAATTTGATACATAGGCACTTGGGATAAAGGAAAATCAAACGCCAGTTTCAAAATTTGGTTTTGCGCATGCGCAGTGCCAACTTTTTTATTTATGGAAGAATTTAAATGAAATGTGATACATAGGCACTTGGAATAAAGGATCATCGAGCGCCAGTCTCAAAATTTTCTTTTGCGCATGCGCAGTGCCAACTTTTTTATTTATGGAAGAATTTAAATGAAATGTGATACATAGGCACTTGGAATAAAGGATCATCGAGCGCCAGTCTCCAAATTTTCTTTTGCGCATGCGCAGTGCCAACTTTTTTATCTATGGCACCATTTAAGTGAAATTTGATACTTAGGCGCTTGGAACAAAGGAAAATCTAACATTAGTTTTAAAATTTAGGTTTGCGCATGCGCAGTTCCAACTTTCTTATTTAGAAAAGCATTGAAATGAAATTCTTCTCATAAACTGAAATTGAAGTAACACGTCAAAAATGGATTGCCCATGTGCAAAGCTATCTTTCATATTTGTGCCCGGATTTTTACGATTTTAACAGAAGTTGCATCTTATAAATGGGAAATGAATGCAAGTGGAAATGCGCTTTATGTAAATCGTTTACGATTACTTTTTAACTTGTTATACTATTGGGAAATAATTTTTGCTTTAAAAAAGTTTCATAAGTTATACCTTCTACTCTGAATAGAATTCGATATATTAAAGAAAATATTACAATAAATTTAGGTACTCGAAATTGCTATGAAAACAAAATTATTGAGTTACGAAATATTTTAATTTACAAATGTGCATCAAATTATTGTCATACTGGTAAAACTATAAAAATTGTTCAAAATTTTCACCGTTTTCTCGTATACAAAAATTTAGCCTTTTTAACAAATGTTGATTTACAATATTATTACTTTTAACTCGTTCACAGCTTGTCTTATTCTAGCTTTAATTCTTCAAGTGTAGTAATGTGCGTAATATAAACTTTCTTTGTGATGGCACCCCACAAGAAGAAATCTAGGGCGATAGATGGGGAGACCTTTGATGTCTCATTATAGATCCTTTATTGGATTGGAAAATCCAGGCATTTGGAAATTCTTGATTTAAATAGTTTGTTAGATCTATTCAATTGTGCGCAGGTGCACCATTTTGTTGAAATATCAGATCTGGTAATGGTATATCGTCAAAAAATTCCTTAGTTCGTTTTGTAAAAAAATCAAATATCTTGGAGAAGTCTCATAAAAATATGAACCCAGAATAATGTTATTAACAATTCCGCACCACACATTAGTGGAAAAACGTACTTGAAAGTTAGTAATATATGTTTTGCGTGGGTTTATGTCTGTAGTTTCTCAATAATGCAATAATATACCATTATTGGAAAAGTGGCTTTCATCTGTCCATAAAATTGTATTTAGAAAATGTGGATTTGTGCGATATTCCTGAATTAAATAATTTCAAAAGTAAAGTCTTGCAAAATCGCCAGGATGGAGTTAATCGAGTATTGTTCCATTTTTACAACAAATAATAATCTAAGTTATCAATTCAAAAACTTTTCACAAATTTATAACAATAAACGAATTGAAATATCAAATTTTGCCTCCACAGCCTTAATTTCCAGTAAATTATTTTAATATTTTCGTTAATATCTCGAATTCTATTAAGGTTAAAAGGTACAACTTGTAAAACTTTTTTAAAGCAAAAATTATTTCCTACCAAATAGTTCAAAAGCATACAGGGCGTACCATTAAAAAATGTCGAAACCGAAAATTAAAATATTTTTTTTCTGACTTAAATTAATTTATGTAATTTACTAGAAACACTAAAAATTTTATTTGAAAGATTTTTTTGTACCTCTAATAACTTGGCTGACTAAACCACCCACAAAACACTTGTCCAGCTAGCTCAAATAAATAACGTTACTCACAAAAACCATTAACATGAAACTATTAAAATCCTAGAAAGTAACTTGGGCCCATTCTAATACAAAGCTGTTCTTCTGACACAAATTCATTCAAAAATTGTTGTAAGAAAAATCGGCACTCAGGGCCAGAAACCCACACCCCGCAACACGGGTGGTCGATCGAACCAGGTTAAATAAATTCTAAATTCTCTTACACTGCAATTCCCAATCTACATGCGTAAAAAAACACAGACACACTAAACTGAATTTGTCTCAGTCACGGTCTTCAAACACACGGCCCAAGTCCAAAAACAAACGGCGAAAGGGCAAAAGCTACCGGGACGGTGTGTTTAAATTTTTACATTCTATATTCGTCTTTCGCCTAAAGTCATATTACATATTACATATTGTAACGGAAACGCTCCAGACATGACGTCGCCTTTGGCGCTCTGGAATTTTCTACGCGCGCGATAGTGGATTTGTATAGGAATATTCGAGACTTATCCGGTAATTACGCGAGTGTTCTGGACTTACATTGCTTGCGTGTATAAATGGTTGCGGACCGAGCATCGCAGGCAGTTTACTACCAAACGAGATCGAGTACGGATGAAACGTCGAGCGCGGAAATATAAATTGCGAAGTGTGTGATATAAATAGTCGATATAAATTGTACAGCTTTTATAGTGTTTTAGTTTTGTTTAATAAATATTGATATAAATCGAACCCGAATTTATAAATCACGTTACAATATTACAAAAACCAATTCTTAATCGGCTTTTTCACGAACTTTCTACGGATACAACTAGGTTCCCGTCGTACATTTGTCGAAAGTCTTCTTTCTCATTGAAAAAATGAGAGGTAGAGCCACTGTCCAGACACTATTTTAAACTCGAAGCGTTGAAATAACCCGCCGAAACCGAGAAACACGTTTCGTTAGCGCACCTTGCATTTTCCGTCCTAAATTCGGACAGTTTCATACCCGATGACCCAACTTTTTACATTTAAAACAACGAATTGATTCGTTAGATTTGCTCATCTTTTTATTATCGCATTTGTTCGGATCAGACCTTATGCTTAACATTGTCCTTTTTCTCAAAGTAAGCGCCCGACGAAACGTTCCGCCGATCATTACTTGCACGAGCGTCGCTTTCTTCGACTATCTTGACGCATAACGCTTCCGGATTGGTAATTCGTCACGTGATACAATAGTGCACCGAAAATTTTCAAACGATGCCGGGAAACTGTACAGCAAAATAATGCACAATAAGTCTTCATTCTGTTCAATGCTCATACCGCTTTATTGAGATGTGTACGCACGTCGTCCTGATCTGACAGCAAATCCAAACCGAACATCCAGGAAAAAAAGAACTAGCATAAAAAAAACCTGGCATAACACACACAGATACAAAAAATAAATCAACTACGAGTCAAATTTGCCTGAACAAATTAATCAAACAAGTTACAAATGACATCATAATTACAAATGGCAAATAAACTAAATCATTTGGATAAAAAACGCATGAAACACATCTACGGTTCAATTTAGGCAACACAAACTGTAAAATGATAAATTGTATGTACCAAAAGAGCATCAAAATGGGCAAGACTTTGTTCCGGCATCGTCCATCATTAATTTAACACAGAAAGTCCCCGTGAGAATGCCGGCATAGGTATTCAAACTAAAGTAGACCACTCCACAAGAAGTTAATTTTGCGTGATGCAAGTTCTGCAGCCTGCACGAGATGAAAGAAAGAAACAAACAGCGAAGATTCGGACTGCATGAGGTGCTTCTTTTCTACGGACATAAGTAATTAATCCAAACATACAGAGCAACATTATACTCATCACCCGCATGAACAGGATAAATAAACGTGAATATTATCATAAAATATGCCGGCATAATCGGGTGCACAACGAATCCAAGCTAAAACATTACTCATTTAACGGTAAACACAAACAATAGCGGCCATGCCTTCAATCAACAGGGATCAAATCTATAGCAAACTTGTAATCGTAACAAAGTAGAACATGGAATTTAAAAAAGCGGTTTCTTTAATTTGCTTGGGTTGTAAGGTGTGTTGCCTATCTGTAAGGGTATATCATCACAAGATGCTAAAAGAAAATTAATTGTATTTTTATAAACACTCTGTACAATAAAAATAAAGCGAACTGCAATACGTTAATATGTTAAGAATTTGCAGGTGCGAGTCTAAATCCTAATGGCACTCGGTGTCCACCAACCCCAACTAGATATAAAGCGCAAGTGTGTGATTAAATTGCGTTTACATAAGTATACAACGTTAAACAGCGCTTGATCATGAAATTCTCATTAATTGTGTCTAATTACACAAATGTACTACGACGCTAGTTCAAAACTACAACGAGGCAAACAACAACTGGTAAGCAGGAGTTTTGGATGCGTTCTCTCTCAATCAGAATGAAAATGATCTTCCCTCCTCCTCGAATTTAAATTGCCCCTCGAGCTTCTACACGGACTGACTATAGAATCCTCGCTGAGTTACGATGTGGAAATTTCCAACTTTCTTGCTTCCTTAATCCGCAGCTTGACGGTGGCTCGATGGGGATAATTGCTAAATTACGTATACGTTGACTAATGTTCGGTTGTACTCAACAGAGTCTCATACAGCGCAACAATCAGATAACAGAAAATGCGGCATAAACAAAAATTTTTCTGTAACCCTAGACAGTCACGCCATATCTCACGACACTAAGGTCCCTTAAGTTTCCACGCAATTAAAAACCACGCGCTCACTATTCTATGTACAAAATTAGAACCATACTGGAAAGTGCTGTTAATTTCTTCAATTTGAAAAAAAATTAAAAAATGTCTACGTCAACTAACCCTTGCATAACATTTAAGGGAGAACCGCCTTCCCCACAACCATCAGTCGACCGTCTCTCCGTAACCTTTGCAGAAGACTCGATCAAGACCGAAAGTTCCTCACGCTTCCATTTCCAAAATTCGAGCATGTCATCGCAAGTTGCGGACAAAGTCCACTTCCCGACCACAGGTAACTATTTTAACTTCGCTATAGTCAATACAACCCAATGTTATAGACGGGGAGGATTCCGAGGAGGACTACTCCGCGAGCGTGAACGCCATAATTCAACGAAAAGCCTCGCTACGGCGATCCCGGAAGCGCAGCAAGCGACGGACGAGTTCGTCGTACAGTCCGGACATACTACCCGGTCAGTTTAGCCGTCGACCATCGGTTTACACCACCAGCTCCGGAGAGTAAGTGCAATTGACTTTTGCTTTAAACTAGCACGAGTTCCAGCACTGCGATTACTGTTGACGAATCGCCTGTTTTGGAGTTGACCCAAGAGCAAATTTTCGAAAATATTAGGTTGCACAAGGAGGTGCTGAGTAATGTCAAAATGCAACCGTGGAATATGAGGAAGAAACTTAAGCTGGTTATGCAGGCGAAAAGTTACGTGAAACGCCACGAGGGTGCGTTACAAGAACGCTTCACGCAAACGCATTCGTTGAACAACATGATTGCTAGGTGGAACATTTACTTAATTAAGGTGCCGGTTGTCAGACATAGCGAGAGAGTTAACGGTGATCATTTTTTAGAAATTGCATCAGTGTCGTAGGGAAATGGCTAACCTCTCCAACTTGCTGATACCATGGGAACGTAGAATAAAAGAGATAGAGTCGCACTTTGGATCCGTGGTCGCTTCGTATTTTATATTTTTGAGATGGTTGTTTTGGGTTAATGTCGTTATGTCGGCTGTAATCGGCTTGTTTGTTGTTATGCCTGAGGTAAGTATCTCCATTATGGTTAATTTGCTCCAATTGAGCACGGGTCGAACATACTTGCAGTTTACAAATCGGAATTCATCCTTGACAGGAGAACATGAATCATTAATTAAAAACGTTCATAAGTGAAAAGCTTCATTTCTGGGATACAACAGAGCAAAATGTTCTGTTTTTTTTTAATCTGAGACACTTCTAGAAACTTTTTGGGTGCTCTCGAAAATTTCTCAGTACCATCTTTAAAGATTTTCTGCTCTTTCCACTGATTTGCATTTCTGTAAGCTTTTCATATCCATTCAATTCTTTACACTCACTAACCTCGGATTGTACAGGGTGAGTCAACAATTGCGCGGAGTAACTTAATGCCTTGAAGATAAGATTTTTCGATAGAGTACTTTTGTATTATGATATGCTTGAATATTCTTCACATTTAAAAAATATTTGGAATTATACAGGGTGCATTTTTTTAAATAGAACCCCCTGTATTTGAATGCATTTTTGAATTCTACGTGTAATTGTACGTCTTTGTTATTATATGGTTAATATCCGAAAAGCTAGTAGTTTTAAAGATAATTCGATTCTTAAGAAAAATTGGACATTTGAAGCGTCAGTATATATTGTCAAAATTATTACTTAAATTTTGATACCAGGTTTTATATCTTTTATTCTGGGTTATGTAAAAGTCAAATAAATATGTACACCTAGCTACTATGAAACATTAAAAATATAGCTTACAGGGTGTTTTCTTTGGTGGGTCCAAAGTTGCAGAACTTCATATGAAAAAATCTCTAATGGAACACCCTGTATATTTTTTTGTCATCATTTAGCTCCTCCAAAAACCTTTAACTTTTGATAATAATGTCTTATACCTATCTCTGATAGTTTTCGAAATATCTTGGTTTTCCTGGTTTTTATATTCTAATCTTAAATAAGTTATATGTAATTTACATAATAGTGAGGTGGACATGCAAAAAAAAGGGCAATTTGACTACAAAGCAAATTCAATTTAACTCCTAATGTCATCCAGTCAGTGATATTAGTTTCATTTTTTTTTCATATCCACCTCGTTATTATGTAAATTAGAACTTATTTCAGATTAAAATATAAAAAGTAGAAAAACCAAGATATTTGTTTATGTTTTTACTATCAAATGTATTCCCTAGTTTTTATAGACTTAAATGAATTATTAGAAAAATTAATTAATAAATATGATTTTAGCTTTGAACTAGGCAGATAAACATTTCTTTTTTTTGCATGGCCACATCACTATTATGTAAATTAGATATAACTTATTTAAAATTAGAATATAAAAACCAGGAAAACCAAGATATTGCGAAAACTATCAGAGATAGGTATATGACATTATTATCAAAAGTTGAAGGTTTTTGGAGGAACTAAATGATGACAAAAAATATACAGGGTGTTCCATTAAAAAAAATGAGATTTTTTAATATGAAGTTTTGCAACTTTGGACCTACCAAAAAAACACCCTGTAAGCTAGTTTTTTAATATTTCATAGTAGATGTATTTATTTGACTTTTACTTAACCCAGGATAAAAGATATAAAACCCGGAATCAAAATTTAAGTAACAATTTTGACAATATACTGACGCTTGCAAATGCCCAATTTTTCTTAAAAATCGAATATCTTTAAAACTACTAGCTTTTCGGATATTAACCATATAATAAAAAAGACGTACAATTACACGTAGAATTCAAAATGCATTCAAATGCAGGGGGCTTTATTTAAAAAAATGCACTATTTTGACGCCCTACTTTGTGGGGGCACTCTGTAGAATTCCAAATAATTTTAAAATGTGGAGAATATTCAACCATATCATAATACAAAAGCACTCTATCGAAAAATCTTATCTTCAAGGCATTAAGCTATTTCGCGCAATCGTTGACTCACCCTGTACAAAACCTTTTATTTTTCAGATCGCATTCTTTACTTGTTTCATGTTCTCCAGATGTTGTGGATTTTTCCTTTTTTTATGTTTCATACTCTACGTATTCATCATTATTTCATGCCTTTCAGTTTCTTCATATCGTACAGATTCCTCAGATTCTTCAGATTTTTCAAGAATCTCTCACATCCTTACGATTCTTTGGTACTTTTAATTCTTCGGATTATTCAGATTGTTTAAATTCTTCCATTTCTTCGGTCTTCATTCGGCCTTCAAACCTTCGCATTATTCAAATTATTTAAAGTAAAAATTTTAGATTTTTTAAATTTTACATTCTTACAACTCTTCCCTTTCGATTTTGCACGTGCTTTACATTCTTTAAACTTTTAAATTTTTAAATTTGTCAAAAAATGTGTCATCTGTTGTAATCGTGGTCAGTCGCGATTAATGTGTTCTAAATTTTTTCGAATCTTTTCAAGAGAGAGGGAATATACAGAAAGGTACATTCGGATGAGCTCTAGTGACACAACAACGAACTAAGAAGTGCTCCATGTACATCGTTAAAATAAGCTACAACTTACAGACGGCGTAAAGAACATTAAATGAAATATTTAAAATAAGGTTGTTTAGATTCATCGAGTTCTCAGAATTCTGTAAATTCTTCTCTCCAGATTTATCTCTTCGTTTTGAATTCTTCATATCTTTTCATTTTTCATATCTTTGGCCACTTTAATTTATTCAGATTCTACGAACCCTTCTAATTCTTGGAATAGATTGAAATCTTTAGAAATTAGTTTTTTTATCCTTCAGTCTCTGTCTTCAGAGATTTGCACATTCATTCGATTCTAGAATCGTCCAAAGTTTCTTTAAACTTATTATGATCTACGAGTATTCTCTGAATGTTCAGATTTTCTCACTTTATCGATTTTTGTCTACTGTTGAGTGCCAGATCAAATTTTTCAGGTTCTTTTTGAATTCTGTAGTTTCATGGAATTTTTATAATTTTTCACGCACATTTTATTGATTCTTTGCATGGTTCTGTTTCTTCAAACTCTTCCGATCTTAAGGTTCTTGACATTCACACTTTTCAGATTATTATTATTTCAAGATTCTTCGAATTTCTTTAAATTCTTTTGGTATTTAATTTTAATTTTTTTAATTTTTCAGATTTTTAGAGTTATTTATATTCGCAAGTTTCTTTCGATTCTTTCCGACTTTACGGTTTCTTCAGATTCTTCGAATTTTTTAGATTTTTCAGGCCCTTATGATTCTTCAAATGGATCGTAATTTTCACATGCTTCCGTTTCCGATTTTTTGGATTCATAGTCAAGACACTCAATGCCGTTTCTTGCTCTCTTTGAATTTCTTTAAATTATTCTGCTTCTTAGAAATCTTGTTTTCTTTAAATTTTCCTGTTACAGTCTTCATCTTCTTCGGATTTTGGAATGTCGGTCGGTAGAGTGCGTTTGAAAAATAATCTTTAGCCAATCGCTAGTGCGGCGGCTTTATTATCTGTTTGTTTACGACTCAATTTGTTTGGGAAAAGGTTAAACTGGATTCGGTAATGAAGAACCAAAAATAGATGCCGGCCTGTGTGGTGCAGAAGCGCGACTGCGGTACTAAGAGTACATTTATAGTACTTCAAAACTGTCTGTGTGTATATTCAAGATGAGAGGGATATCTCAAAAACGTTAAGATATACAGATGTTGCATTAAAAAAAATAGCAACTTTGGGTCAAATCTCAGAAACGGCTGTCCAACAATTGTTTTCACTACGCCACTAGATTCTAGGTAAAAATATCTAAAACAGGCAGTTTTTACCTTTTTTTTCTATCGTACATGGCAAGATATGATCAGATCCCAAAAAATCACACTTTTCGTTTTCACCCGGTATTTCAGAAACAAACGTAATTAGATTCATTCCGTTTCTGGTAGTAAACGTTTCAGAAAAAAGTGGCACAGGATCGCGAAAACGGCAGGTCTCTTTAAAAACAACTAAAAATACACTGCAGTCTCAACCAAAATAGGACACACAGTACATGCAATCGATTGTTTATAGCAATACACATATGTTGTTCTTAGAATCCATTAGTGATGATTTTTTGGGAAATCAACAAATGTCGTTTTAGGGGATGTTCACTCAAACACGCGTCTTTGTGTGTTGGCACAAAGGAAACTATAACTCATTTCCTTTTAATCATATCAAAGCAGGAGTAGGATCTTGTGATTCGTGATGTACGCCCTTAATTTCAGTTGAGAACTATTACCTTGACACGATTATGATCGAAGTTTCTTTTTAGAAACGCAACCCAAATTCCACTCGGGAGTTTTGCTTCAATTTTAATCAGCAGCATTAAATGGTAATGGCGTTTATGCATGGTATATGACAATGCCATCCCTAGATCAAAGAACTGTTATCGACAGGGACAAATTGTAATCAAATTTCATGTTACGTTCCGTGTGTCACGCATTGTACGGAATGATGGACTAATTAGGCGCTTGAAGTTGACAGAAAGTCAATAACCGGATGTTGTGGTTTTATGTGGCCATAAACCAGCTCATCGGGGAGAGATATAAACAATACTGCGCACCAAAAGTTTTCTCACGCACGTTATTTACACAAGGGATGGAAAGCGTTACGTGTAAACTTCCACTGTAATCTTAAATTTTAAAACTGAATTTTCTTTAAATTTCGCATAATAAACTAAACAATTTTTTTCAAATTTTTAAAGAGAACCACTGTATCTATAATTTTCGTAAAAACAAAAACTCAGTTATTTCAAAAACAAAGATGGTGTGGGGCGTTCAATTGTTTTTGCAAGAACCTGCTTTAACTTCTTAACCGTTTGACAGATTTTAACAAATTTGATGAATGAAAAGAGCATTCCTTGAGCAATGAGAATCAACCAAAATATAGTTAATTTAGTTGAATCTTTCACCGCCAGGGGGCTAGTTTTGACACTATGACCCAAAATCCTAAAAAAATCAAAAAAATCAAATGGAATGACATGACTTTTTCTTCATGAAAAAGTAGCCAAACAACATCCAACGAGGCCAGGAAAAACCGCTTTTCAAAATCTCGTTCCTAACCTCAAATATTGGCAAAATGAGATTAATTAATAAATTAATAAAAATGCTTAAATTGTATCTTACATTTACTTTTGACGTATTTCCGGTATTTGACGATGGCGTAAAAGTTTGTTTGGAAAAGGACCCTACACTTTTAGGTAGGCCTTGGAAAATTAAACAAATGAAACACGATGCATTATAAAATAATAACAGCCGTAATTTGTAAATTATTCTGCTGTGTTTACATTCAGAAAGTGCAGTTTTTTGAATTTGTAATCTTTTCTAAAATGGCGATTTCTAATCAAGAAGCATTTAATATGCTACCTTGGTGGAGAAGGATTCAACTAAGTTAATTATATTTTGGTTGATTCTTGTTGCCCAAGGAATGCTCTTTTCAACGATACCAAATTTGTTACAATCGGTCAAACGGTTAAGAAGTTAAAGCAGGTTATTGCAAAAACAATTGAACGCCCCACGCCATCTTTGTTTTTGAAATAACTGAATTTTTGTTTTTACGAAAATGATACATAAACTGGTTCTCTTTAAAAATGTGAAAAAGAATGTTTAGTTTATTAAGCTAAATTTAAAGTAAATGCAATTTTAAAATTTAAGATGGCAGATACACCCTCTGGTGGTCATTTTTAGAACTTGAAAATATTTTCCAACGATTCTTCATAACCGATTTACCCAATAATTTTTTTTATCCCTAAATCATACGACAAACGGTTCCGGAGATATGGCCGAGGAACAGTCTTATTGGGTCACCCGGTACAACAAAAATCAGGTAATCGGGACAAATGTGGTTAAACAAATTAATCAAAACGAAATACACACGACATCATAATTACAAATGGAAAACAAGATACAAATTTTAGTATCAATATCTACGGTTCAATTTAGACAAAACTACTCGTAAAATGATAAATTGCATGTACCTAAAGAACATCAAAATAGGGATGGCATTGTTCACATCATTAATTTAGCACGAAACAGTGCAAGCGAGAATACCAGCAGTAGGTACTCAAGCTAAAGTAAACCACCCTGCATAATATCCCGCATTGTGTATAGAAGAAAAGTTAATTAGAGGGCCCCCCTTTCTGGTATTGCTTACGCACAGTCCGGCAGCTGGCGTGAGATGCAAACGACTAAGAATCCAACTGGATGAGCTTCTTTTTTCACGGAAATAACTGATTAACCCAAACATACAGGGCAACATCATACTAATAATCTACTTGCTCGTGAACACATTAAAATAATAGTGAATATTATCATAAAATTTACCAGGTATAAAAATTTCATTTTACGTATAATGCAGGTCAACATTATTTCGCATAATAGTAGATATAACACAACCAGAACAATTTTTCAGATCATAATAAGTGACACCAATCCCGACAGAAAAGATATTTTATCAGAAGACAAGTACAATTCCACCAACTTCTTGACAATGTGGGACTTTGAAGGGGTTTTAAAATACACGCCCTTATTTTACGGCTGGTACACAAACGCGGATTCCCAGTCGGGCTATCGCTTACCACTGGCTTACTTCATGACACAGTTGGCAGTCTACATTTACAGTTTCGTGGCAACGCTCCGCAAGTAAGTTGCAGACCCTTTTTCTCTATTTAGTAAGTGGGCATTTACAGAATGGCGGCCAACTCGCGCATGTCCAAATTATCGGAGAAGGACGATGAATCGATTTTTACGTGGAAACTGTTCACAGGTTGGGATTATATGATCGGAAACCCGGAGACCGCGCAAAATCGGATTATGTCAATCGTTATGGGATTCAAAGAGGCGCTCCTCGAGGAAGCGGAGAAGAAGCGCAAGGCCCGAAAGTAGTTGTCGTACGCGTGGATCAATTCTATATTGGGTTTGTTTCAGCTGGAAGGTTATCTGGAGTAGAGTGTTTGTAAATATTGTAGTTCTAATTCTGTTCGCACTTTCGGCGGCCGCGGTCGTCGAGGTGGTCAGGAGATCCACCGAAGACGAAGCGAACAGCTCCATCTGGCGTAGAAATGAAACAACCGTCGTCATGACGTTCTTATCCTTTGTATTCCCAATGATCCTAGAATTTTTAGGCTTCATGGAGCAGTACCACCCAAGGAAACAGCTGCGAATACAATTGGGACGGTGAGTATCAATCCGCAAGTTCCCCAATAGTAGTTCATTTGTTTTCAGGATTATGCTCCTGAACCTCCTAAACTTATACTCGCTTATTTTTGCGCAATTTGATAAGATAGATGATATGGTAGGTCCTTTACACATTTACAGAGTACTCAAATTGTCGCATTGCAGACTGCAGAGCTGCTTAAGTTCAGACCCAACGTTTCGTCAATTTCGAATGACCCTACCACGCCGAGCTACGGAGATTCCCCACCCACTCCCATGGCGCTCATCGGTGGTATAGAACCGCAAGTTATCTGTCGCACAATTTGCTACAACTACACCGTGGAAGAATCAGAGGGGACGCTCGCGAGTACAATTTCAACAATCGCCTCAACTGTAGCCTCTACTGCTCTGCCGAAATTATGGGAGGCTTTGAATTTGACTGGAAGCACAACTGAGAGTGATAATTTTACGTGGAGAGACATTTACGACAACGTAACCGATGAGAACTTGCAACAGCTGTCGAGTAACTTTCTAATGGGCTTCCAAGACTACTTGAATTTCCTGTTGGGGTCGATCGGTCAGGATGCGAACGCAACCGAGGCCAATGTAACAGATGTTACCGATTTGACCAGCGCCACCGGTTACGACCTGTTGAAGACGACGATGTCTACAATTTTGAATACGACCATTGACGAGGATGGCGAAATTCCGTTCACCGCATTCTATACGGAGGTGAGCGGTCTTGTTGGAAGATTCGTGGAGAAATGCGAGGAGGTATGCGAAACGGTTTGGCCGCCTACCACAACGGAGGTAAGTACCGCTGCAGTAACGGCGGTTGCAACGCCGTTCAGCGGGGAACACGATTACCCCACGAAAGCGAAGCTGAGATCGCTCTGTTGGGAAACAATGTTCGGCCAAGAGCTGGTTAAGTTGACGGTTATGGATCTAGTGTTTACGATCGCTGGGACTGTTGGAATCGATTTCTTGCGAGGCGTTTTTGTGCGAATCATGAATCGGTGTTGGTGCTGGGATTTGGAAAAGGTCTTCCCGGAGTACGGAGAATTCAAGGTGGCCGAAAACATTCTGGCGCTGGTGAACAATCAAGGAATGGTGTGGATGGGAATGTTCTTTTCTCCTGGATTAGTCGCAATTAATATCGGCAAGCTGATAGTGCTAATGTACCTGCGTTCTTGGGCTGTATTGACCTGCAACGTTCCCCATGCCGTAGTCTTCCGAGCGTCGCGCTCAAATAACTTCTATTTCGCCCTTCTTTTAATTATGCTGTTTTTGTGCGTACTGCCGGTTGGGTACGCGATCGTTTGGGTTGAACCCTCTTGGAACTGCGGCCCGTTCTCGTATTACAGCCGAATTTACCACATTCTAACAAAGACCATCAGGAAGTTACTGCCGCAGAAGCTTCACAGGGCGATGGAGTATGTTGTTTCGCCTGGAATCGTGATACCGATCCTAGTTATTTTGGTACTAATTATTTATTACCTAATTTCCTTGACCAACTCGTTACGCGAGGCAAATTCGGACCTGAAGGTGAGCTTCTGGTAACTTGAGCGTCTGTACATCTGCTTCATACAGGTGCAACTACGACAGGAAAGAACCGAGGAAAGACGGAAGATGTTTCAAATTGCGGATCGTAAAAGGGCGCAGACCTCCGGACCTGGTAGTATCGACAACACACCGTTCGCAAGGTGGAAAAAACTGATTCACAGCCTCCCTAGCACTAAAAGCACGGAAGAACCACCGCCCAAAACCCCAGTCGACAGTGACGAAGAAAAAATGCACAAGGCTCGAGGTACAGTATTTCGCGTCGTACATGTGAAACGGTTGCTTTTGTTGCAGATGTTGTCGTTAGGTTTCTGAGAAGAGCCATGCAAAAACCCGACAACGAAAATGGACGCCAAGTCGAAGAGGAAGCGACCGACAACGAACAGCACGACTCGCTACCAGATGACGTCAACAGGACCCCAAACGACATGAGAAAGTATAGCAACGCTGACCACAGCGAAATCAGACGTTTCCATATTCCCGACTTACAAAAAAGGCGCAATTCTGTTGATTCTAAACGAGGGGAGGAGTGGCGTCAGAGTTACCGCAGTAGTTCCCCCTCGAACAGTTCAAAGGAGACCAGGCAAGATTCGATCACGTCGTCCATTTGGTCCGACAATATACCCATTATTACCATAAGCAAAACTGAAAGCGCGGAAAATATTCTGAGAGAGAACGGTTCGAATGAGGCTTCCCCGAAAATAAGAAACATACTTAAGAAGCAAGCGGAGGTGGCTACTGAAAACGACTCTGACGGACAATGTAGTGATGATGAGTCTACAAAAACTACTGTGAAATCGATTAACATTTGCTGAAATCACTTGTCAATCTATTCTTTTTGAATGTGCCGGGAATGAGACTTGGGTACAAGACGTTCTGTGTATTTCGCCAACAAATCAAGGAAGAGGAGGGCGATGAAGGTGTAGCATTTCATTAAAAACAATTCCAGCTTGTAAAATTAATAAATTATAAAAAATCACCGCTGTCCTCATTTAGCAAACCTCAAACGTGATCTTGGAAAATAACGCTGCACTATTGTCCCACGGAATGCAATTAAATTAGTATTTCAGCCTAAATACTTCAAATATGGTAGTTTCGCCATTTCGGAATATCATATTTTAAGAATATTCACAAGAAATCTTACAATCCTCTTCTATCAGTCTTCTTGAAAACTTTCACTTTTTTTTGTAGACTAATGAAACTGGAAATCTTTTTTTCGCGTTTTCTTTTCATTTTCTTCACATCAGTCATTTTCTTCTTTTTTGCGCCTTTCTTCACCCTACATTTTTAATGTATTTTCTGCTTTCGTTTTTCTTCATTCTTCATTTCACGTCTCCTTCTTCCTAGTTTTACACACGGAGAGTTCAGTTTTTCAAAGATGCTCAACTTTACGAAGAAGCTACGAAAGTTTTATGCCCAAACGAACAAACCACTGTACGGAATCTCAAACCCCTTTTACTTTACATCACTGAGCTAGCTGATCATTTATGCGGGGAGGTATTTATAAACGCAGTTCCACTTAAACTCACGTCACACAATGAACGAATATAAAAGTTATTAGCTTATTTCCATAGGAAAACGGTTTTTCAGTTGTCCCGAAAAAACTAACATGGAAACATCACTTCTAAAATATTCAAACATCCAAAAACATTGTTTTTACAATTTTTCTACACGTTTTCTAAACATTTCCACAATTTGTTAAAAATTTGTAGACAACAATTTGTTTTTCTGAAACATTTCCATAATTACTTTTACAAATTAGTAAATGAGCAATATACGTACGGGACCAGGAAGTGACGTCACACCAATCAGAATGCAGTATTTCGGTCACGTGATCACGTGTGAGCCAATGGGAGCGCGTGAGTCGGCCATTTTGTGACGTCACATTTTGTGTGTTTTGCTTCCGGGATTTCTGGACCAGGAAACGCGTCATAGCTTGTGATATATTTGAGCGCTCGTATTTTAGCATAGAATTTATTATGAATGAAATTTCATTATGGTTATGATAACGTTTGATTAAGTCACCATATCAGATATCCTAATCATCGGGAAGCGTTTCGCGGTCATGCTACCTATAGCAATCGAGACGCTAGATAGGCTTTACAATTTATGTTCATATTAGAAAAATAATTGTGTTTTCATATTGCGAACTAGAATGGAAATGAGATCTTCTTTATGCTTTATTGATAAACATTCTAATGTTAACCACAAAGCCACTGAGTCTTATAGGATTTAGGAAAACAATTATACAGGGTGTGTCATTATTACAGTACAATATTATTAAGTTACATATTAATTATACAAAATAATAATAAACTTTCCTAGCGGAGTGCGTTACATCGGATGCCATAGTTTGAAGAGTTTCAGGTAAAAATAATAAAAAATTATTATATTTATTATACAAATTGATTATATTTTTGTAACAAATTATTAAAAGCTTCATCATCCTCTTCTATTTCACATTCACATTTTCCAATGCGAATATAGCACCATAATGCACGTATTGCACATAATCTCTAGTAGGGTATTCATCATCTTCTAATAGTTCCAAATATTCCTTTACTCTTCGCAGTAAAAGCAAAATTTCTTTTAAATATCGAAATATAAGTGTAACTTCAACACAGTTTCCTTAAACGGTATATATACTTTCCTACTGATTAGTATGTCCTGCTGATTAGGATATCCTGTTTACAACAGCGGATGTTGGTTTCCTGTTGACGTGAACGGATGTTTGTTTCCTGTCAACGACCGGACGCTGTTTCCTGCTGATTAGAATTTACCGGATGCTGCTTCCTGTTCCCGCCATTTACGTTTCCTGCCGATGACCGGATGCTGCTTCCTGTTCTCGCCATTTACGTTTCCTGCTGCTGATTACAATTTACCGGATGTAAGTTTCCTGTTGACATGAACGGATGCAATTTTCCAGTTTGTCATTTATGCATCCTGTTTCCGCCATTTATACTTCCTGCTGATTAGGATGTTTCTAGGAGGGATGTTTAATATATAAGAGTGAGTATGCATATGTATATGCATATACAGATTGACATCGAACATCATAGCCATGAGTGCTGATTTGGCGAAAATTAACGGTAGCGGAAATGCAGTGGAAAAAACCATCATTAAACTTGGAGATATGGAAGTGGGTAAAATTTATGAAATTAAATAAATTTTACCCACTTCCATATCTCCAAGTTTAATGATAGTTTTTTTCCACTGCATTTCCGCTACCGTTAATTTTCGCCAAATCAGCACTCATTGCTATGATGTTCGATGTCAATCTGTATATATATATACAGAGTGGCCCAACGAGAAGTATACAGAGGGCTTTTAGGGTATTAAATTTAGAAATTTCGAAAAATCCTCGAACACGTCAATTTTGTATTCGAGGGGGACAACTTTTGGAATACAAATCACGAACCCAAGTCTTCAACCCTCTACGTAGGGAGCGTAACCCCTAAAATTTTAAATGGAATCCTATGGCAAATGGCACATTATTTGAAAGCCAATTTAATCGTGATACTAATCTGCTTTGCTTTTTAAATTCTATTGATTCGTTTCGGAGATATTCGCATTTGAAATGGTTTTTTTCTCCTGATCTAAGTCCTTTAGATTACTTCTTCTGGGGATATTTAAAGAATAAAGTTTATGCTACTCCGCCCGGAACATTACAAGGGTTGCGAGCACGCATAACCATAGTGTAAGAATAGAATACACTATGGTATAACCAAAGAGTAGTCCTCTTTGGTATAACTCAACAATTTCGAGCGATTACCCCTGAAATCTTGCAACATGTACGGCAGCGTTTTGAAGCAAATCTTTATTATTGCATGGAAGCAGGCGGAAGGCAATTCGAGCATTTATTGAAATAAATGTTGTGTGTTTAAAGTTATTTGTTATTTTTTGCACAATTTAAACCTTTTTTTTAATACAAGGTGACTTAGATCGCATTTGTTTTGGTTTTTTTAGAAAAAACCATTTCAAATGCGAATATCTCCGAAACGAATCAATAGAATTTAAAAAGCAAAGCAATTAGTAATCACGATTAAATTGGCTTTCAAATAATGTGCCATTTGCCATAGGATTCCATTTAAAATTTTAGGGGTTAAGCTCCCTACGTAGAGGGGTGAAGACTTGGGTTCGTGATTTGTATTCCAAAAGTTGTCCCCCTCGAATACAAAATTGACGTGTTCGAGGATTTTTCGAAATTTCTAAATTTAATACCCTAAAAGGCCTCTGTATACTTCTCGTTGGGCCACTCTGTATACATACGCATACTTACTTTTATACAGGGTGACAATTTGAAAACTTACCACCCCCCATATCTTAGTAAATAAACGAGATATTAAAAAAAATCAAAATCCGTTTCGGTAATTCGGAGGGGGAATCACAATGACATAGTTGGCGACGCACCCCTCCAACCCCCTGCGCCCCAGCCACCACAACTTTTAAATCTTAAATAGTGACCCCCCATGTGTGATACGTCGTTGGAAAGCTCTGAAAAAATGCTTTCCAACCATACCAAATAGCATTACATTTAGGTTAGTAATTATCGTGCAAATCAAAAAATAAAAATAAAATTTTCTGATTACGTTAAATAAACATCCTCTGCAATTTCTTAAAAATAACTGACCAATACTTTATACAATTCAAAAAAAAATTAAAGCAACTTACAGATATGGCTGCAATCGGTGTTTTCCTATAGGTTCAAAATGGACGCCACTCCCTTGAAAAAGGTCCCCTCCTAGAAAAATTGAAAACTGGATCGCTTTTACGATTTTTTTCGAGATACGATAGAATCCTTGAGACCCACTCTGGTACAAATTTGCCTCTCATAGTATGGACATTCTCAGGACGAAGAAACGTGTATTTACCTCGACCGTATTCATTTCCCATTTGTAAGATGCAACTTCTGTTAAAATCGTAAAAATCCGGCCCCAAATATGAAAGATAGCGTTGCATAGGTGCAATCCATTTTTGACGTGCTACTATAATTTCAGTTTATAAGAAGAATTTCATTTCAATGCTTTCCTAAATAAGAAAGTTGACACTGCACATGCGCAGAACCAAATTTGGAAACTGGCGTTAGATTTTTTGTTATAATAATGTAAATACTCTATGACATAGTACTGCGACTATATTAGATTCGTTAAGTAGCGTAGATAAAACAAACACTTAAGAATTTAAGTATATACATTTAATGTATCAAATTTCATTTAAATACTTTTATAAAATAGAAAGTTTACAATTCGGTATGTAAATGGTCGAGATGCGAAAAGGGCACTGTGAATTTTGAATCGATTCGACTCAACTTTTGGCATTGCGTATTATATGGCCAAAGCTATGCCCATATTGAATTTCATACAATTCAGTTCATAATTAACGGAGATGTCAAAGCGATCGGACATTTCTAAACAAAGTTATCGTTCACACGGACGGATAGATGGACAGACAGACAAAGGAACAGACGGACGACAGATAGCAATACAAAATTATAAACGATCTCTAGGATCGTTAATAAACGGCAAAAGTGTAAAATTATGGAACATGTAAAAATGTTTTTTTTTGGTTTTTTACAATAACTTTTTTTGTAAGCGGCACAGAAAAAATCCCTTCCTTGGTGCAAGCTTCGACACCATAATGAACCAAATAGCGAAAAAAGTAGAACAAGAGTAGTAGCGCCCCAACGAATACCCGGACGGACGGACGGACAGACGAACAGACGGGCGGACGAACGGACGGGCAAAGTAGCCGCAATAGCGCATTTTTGTGGAAATGCGCTAAAAATGTATCAAATGACCCAGCCAGCCGGCCAAAGGAGATTAAAAGCTACATTTTTACAAATAAATTTGCAAAAATTAATAAAATAAATATTGTCATGAAGATCGCCTCGCAAATTTCCAGTACTAACGAAATAAAGGTGATATCGGAAATGGTCTATCAGAAATCAAACACCCCGTTTCCGAAAGAGACAAACTAAAA